CCTAGACGTGTAACTCTTGATCAGTATAGCTAAAAGCTTTAGTAAGAGAGCAACAGCAATCGAAATTGAGTGCAAGGTCTGTAAAAGATAGTAATTTGATATTGAAACTCAGATGCTGTAAATTAACTCTTAGTTAAAGACAGAGTCTAAAGAATGCCCCAAGGTGTTCATCACGATATTTGTAAGGCATTGAAAGAGATCTCAAATCCCATATGTTGATTTGGAAGATCCAAGACTATATTGATTTACACATTTACCCAACTGTCATGGGACGCACATGTCGACAATAAGGTTTTGTTAATTTTAAAGGCCTTTTCAGTAGATTTGTGTTCTTGTTTTCTAAAACTTTTCATTACGCATGCAAAATCAATAATTACTTTATTGATCAAAATTCTCTGCTGTATTCATTGACTTATTAAATTGCAAACCAATTCTTCTCATCAATTGAAAACCACGTTAACAAAGGTGTTAAAGTCGAGTTTGAACTGTAATTTGATATCGGAAGGCATATACTATGGGCAACATGTATAATATAATGCATCGTCAAGCATTGCTGATTTTTATTCTCTTACGCAGGGTATTATAATTTTTTTAAGTAGGACATCACCTGCCTGTTTATTTATTATTATGATGATTACCTTCCGGTCGTGAACTTTTGATTTTTTTTTTAGAGAACTTTTGTAAGAAGTAATCTCGGAACCCATAAAATATATATAAATAGTTACCCGTCGGAATCGGAGCTGAAGAAAATGTTATTACTTAAATATTTAGTCTATGAATATTATTGTTGTTAATTCTTCTTCTCTTAAATCTATACTTTCTTTTTCTTTTATGATTTACAGCGTTAGTTATTTATAAGAATGAGACTGGTAGTTATAGGGAAAGTGTCCATCATGAAATTAGTGGGTTGATATTCCTTGATTTACAGGATAGTTACTTCTTTGGGACGTATGTTTGTATCTATTTGTATGGTCCCAGTTAACTGGTTAATATGTTGGTTGATTATATGTGCATCAAAATATATATCTGCCGTTGCCTGTCATTTGCCGTAGAACAATGTAGAAGAATCAGGTAAGAGTCGATGCGGAGATACCATGTTATTTTCTCAACTCCCTTGTTTCTCATTTTCCATAGGTTCGGGGCTACAAACATGCCTAATCTGTACACCGTTGAAATTGAAATCATCGGAAGTTGATTTATTTGACAGTTTCCCATCTCATGTTTAGTATGTTTTCCTCTTTTGTTGAAGAGCAACAAAAAAGAAAAAAACAAAAAGAATAAAACAAAGAAGAAAAAAACAAAACAAAACAAAAAAAAAAACAAAAAACAATATAAATTTAAAAAAATAATAAATAAATAAAAATAAAAAAAAAGCTATGTCGACGTTTGTACCAACACCAGTACCAAAATCGGGTGTTCAAGAGCATATTCAAGTATGGGAGAAAATAGATTGGAGTCCGGAAGTGGAGCAGGGAATATACAAGGACTGGGGAAAATACTATTCCCGACGACGCAGGGAAAACATTGCAATGAACTATTATGACAAGGCACTTGAACTTAAACCAGATGATCATTCGACTCTCTACCATCGCAGTCAGAGTAAGCGTAAGACTGCACGAATAGATGGTGCGCTAAAAGATAGCCGGCAGGCCCAAAGTAAGTGTGAATTTGAATCGCTAAGTTGATATAGTGAAAATATGTATAATCGATTCTCTCTATATCTATCATCAAACTGAGTAGCTAGGAGCAGTTTTACTTAGGCTGTTGTTTGATAATCGCCAGATTCTTTAAGATACATTTACTTAAGGCTTGTGTTTCATCTATTTATCTGTGATCGATTTATACCGAGAAATGGAAGAGCAACATGTCCTGATAGGGTCCAATTATATTGATTTTAAGACTTTATTTTAACTCGAAAATTAAATGAGCTAATCTGTGAACTCTATTTATTTTATAAAGAACTCTTAAAAGGTTTAAATGTGCAAAATGCGCCAGTTAATCTGGAAGTTTGCGATGCTTTGTACGAGTTAAACCAGTTCGAAAATGCTAAAGCAGAATTATATAATAATACACGTATCTTTACGGGCAACAAGACCAAGGCCTTTGAAAATCGATTGCTTGTGGTATGTAACATATAAAAAGTGTTTACCTTTAAAGTATTATTTCATTAAAGTATTATTTCTTAGGTTGATGAGAATATAAAAGACGCTTGCGGCGACGGATTGAGCCCATTTATTTTAGAAAATGAAAAGCTCATGTCCCACGTAAAGGAACTTCTTAATGAGAAAGCGAAAGTTGATAAACGCCCGCTATGGAAAATATTAAAGGAACAAGGCAAATGCGATATCTTAAGCATTCCAGAAATACAAGTTTGTTTCTTATATATCATATATCATAGTGCCAAACTGGTTCTAATTGATTCATGCATTTAGGAACAAATACTCTCCCCACTTGAAATAGCGAGACGAAAGCGTGCATTTGATATATGTAATCAAGTTTACATAGATAGAACATGGATAGACATTCTATTTTTGAAGAACTTAAGAGAGTAAGTTTCTTAGAAGAAATTCTTGTATTATCTAAATCAGCACGAATATAAGTATTCTGTTTTTTTGTTCAAATTTAAATGTTCATTTTTTTTTTTAATATACATGCATGTATTATGATTTCAGTAATCCAAACTTACTCTTGGAGCAGTGCAAAAATTCCAATGGCTTCTTAAGATCTTTAACTGATAATCAATATGAAATCATTAAGAAGTTTTTGGTATGCCTTAATAAACGTTTTTTTATTGACCCTAAAATGTAATCAATTTTGTATGTCCCTAGAAAATGATACATGCTCGCTCTCCGATCTACTACATACGGTACAAAAAATATACAAATATGGACCGGTTACACAAGTTCCAAGAAGCCTTGCTCTTTAGAATACAGTACCAGACACGTCGAAACATGATAACTGCTTTAAAGACTATTAAACGTCTTCGTGAAGAAAAAAGTTTGACGGTAAGTTTTGTTCACGAATTATATTGTTTCTAATAACCACAGACATATATGTACTTCAAAATTGTTTTGAGTGGTCCAGTTGAATCAAAAACATCAAAAATCTCGATTGATTTTTGACGACGGCATGGTATCCATGTTCTTTTAACTAAAGAACAATATTTCATGCTTTTGCAAAGATTTTTCGTATGCCAAAGACAGGCTTAGTATATGCTTAGGGTTTCCCCCTGCAAGTGTTTCTTGGAGCCCGACTGTTGTCCGGGTTGTCCTGATCTTTAGGGAAATCCTTTTGTCGGGGCTTCAATAAATAAGCAGGGTGTAGACAAAGAAGGTGCGCAGGATCAGGATCATAGTAAACTTTATTCCATGAACGATCCATTAAAGCCAAATTGTTTTAATTTAGATTCTTTTTGTCCAATGTGCCTGCAGTTGTCGTATTGACAGCAATCAAATCAAATTCAGAAAGGCAAATTGCCCAGGCCTGTACTCCCTTGGCGGGTCATTCCAAATGCTTATGCCCTTCCTTTTATCTGCATAAATGACTTCTTAAAATCCATGGTTAATATAATATTATAATATTTCAGGTAACTTTGGTCGTGTGTGATATCTGTGTGTCCATTAATATTAATACAATTTTCTAAAAGAAACTACCAATTTTACCAGTTTTAAACTTATTCCAAACATTTTCAGAGACTTTCAAATTATATCGAGGAGATAATGGGAGATTATGTTGTGCTGAAAACTAATCGCATAATGCCATGGAAGATTGAGTTCATTAACGAAGTATACAACACTTTGGGTTTGGCTCTAGCCGAGCAGTACTATGTGCCTAAAACCTATCGACAATCAGACAGAAATCCTCTTCTACAATTGTTGCACCTTAATTTGAATAAAACAATGGAAATCTCTAAGTTTGTTTTTGGAGACCGATCCACACATCAAGATCAGGATATAGTGGACCCTGCCTTCACAAAATCGAGGTAATTTTAGTTGTATATAAAACAATCAAAAGACTTTCATTTTTTTTTACAGACAAATGATTGCGCGTTTGGAGCAGCGCATGGTATTCGCAAAATATTCAATCGAAAAGTGTTATTTACTTCATCAAATTGCAAGCATTCATCTTCAGTCCAATCACTATGATGAGTGTTGTTTTGTTGCTCGCAAGGCAATTCAAGGTTTGACAAATCCTTATTAACATTTTGAATAATCTGAAAAACTACAAAAAAAAACTATTCTTAGAAACTAAAAATTGTAACAGCTACTTATGGAGTTTTCTAAGCACTATTATCATTGTCAAGTCGAATGCAGCTCTTAACAAAACTGAGCGCACGAAAGAAGTTTTGGGGAAAGCTCTCAAAATTGCTGAGAAACTACATTGCCCAGAAAGAATTGAATTTATCGAAACGTGTATGGCTTATAATGAGCGAATTTCTCAAAAACTGAGCACAAGTCGTCGGGAAAGCAAAATGTCAGCTCGAAGCTCAATGTAAAGTGTTTTCCATCTCCTTCATTTCAGTTTAGTGTAGAAAAACAAATTTGCAGTGAACAAAATTGTACGTACGAAATATTAAATATTGTTTCCGTTTAATTAGTTTACAATGAAGACGGCACTTCTTAAGTCCTAGATGCTTTCTGTTGTTGTCTGACTATCGCTGATTAGGGAGTCTGAGTTGTTTACTTCTGTATGTCTGTTACATACAGACCATCGGCCTTTCCAATTGGAATTGTTTCCGAAAACGACGCGACAGACGGACGTGACCAAATCGTTCCGATCCAAAATATATATATCTATGGGGTGGACATACCTTTTTCATAGAATACACATGTGCGCAAAACCAATATACCCTTTTTAATCCATTTTGAATGGGTGTAGGGTATAATAAATATATAGGTTATGGCTATAGAACTATATACACGGAAGTGTTTCTTAGTAGATGGGTTATATAATATAAATAACTTAATCTTTCTGTCTATGGGAAAAACAAATTTAACAAATTTTTAGTCTTTGACTTTGAATAACTTTTGTATTGTTTTTATTTTGTTTCCTTTTATTACATACCACCTTAACTTAATTCATTAACTTATTTTTATCATTATACATTTTTTTGTTACTTAAAAGTAGATCATACTGTACATTTGGGATATTGAATATTAGTTAATTAGGTACTCAGGTTTTTACACACAAATGCTTGGCTACAAGCCACTTTGGGTTCGTTGCATTACAAATTATATAAGGACTATAACTGAAGCATATACAATTTTGCGTATTTAACATATATTTATGTACAAATCGGTTAAACTTTGTTCAGCCTCAGGAAAACTGACTACGGTTACGCGATACGCGTCGCCAAGGGGCTAGTATTCGGCGTATGTTCATCTATAAAATAGTCTGAAAAGAAAGTGAGGAGTTGATTAATAATAGTTCTTTATGTATTGTTTGTGTGATATAACAATATAAGGAAATGAATTCGTATTCATCCAAATTGCCAACATAAAGCCAATTTACCTTAAATACTCAAATGTTAATAATTTAGTGGTTTGGGAATTGTTACAATGTGCAGTCAAGATGGTATTTAGAAGGCGACGTCGTGTAATTCAGGTTTCGTTGGCATAATTTGAACTGCAAGATATGTTAGCCAGTATGATTTATTATATAATCCGATACGATGCAAGATTTGACTACTAACCCGATTCAATGCCGTTCCATTCACTGACTTCTGGATTAAAACACTTCTGATGCGCAACTTCATGATCGTCGACTGACCCATTATAAACTTGCAAATCGGTATTGAGTTCATGCTTTGTCATGTCATCAAAATCGAATATTTCGGTTACTTTTATATTGTTGGTATTATTATCTGTGTAATAGTACGCATATAGCGCGTCGTTATGCGCAGTCATCTCAATGACATGTCCGACATCGCTATTTAAAGGTGTAGTATCACTGCGTAAGAGTGGAAAGTTAAGGACAATAAATTAATTTAAGGTTTTGCAAACTTAATTACCATTTATCGACGAGAATTGAAACATGTGGATTATACAAATGGTTGGAGTGAAGAAGGCCGGTAGCATCAAAGTGTGGCTGATCGTAAAGCTGTGCGTGTGGGTTCAAAATTAGTTGTATAATCAACAGGGGCAAAGGTAAATACTTACCGAAAACTTGTTGAGAAAACGAACTGTCATGGCAGTATTTAGCTGAACAATAAACTCTTCAACTATTTGACGCATTTGCTTAGTCAGTTTTGGCGTTAAGGTGCTGATTCTAAATGATATCAATTAACGAATATTAATTAAGCTAGCCATAACAGACAATCGAATTAACCTACTTCGATACTGTGGCCAGAAAGAAGTCCATGGGTACTGTAGCCGGCAGCGAAAGCAATTTAATGCCGCGATGCTTGAAGATCCAATTGGCCAGGCCCTTGTTAGCCTGCTCCAAATAGTCTTGTATAACGTCCAACACGGTTTCCGGCATGTTTGAGCTCAATGCATCCTGAAACATTTTTTGGGAATAAGTTATTATTTTGGACAGAAGGGATAAAGGATAACTCGTACCTTCCTATGCTTCTTGCATTCGCGGCACTCTGATTCCATCTCCTGCGATGTCGCAACTGTTTCAGAAACTACAAATGTGGACTGAACAGCTATACAGCGTCGGCAATTAATTAGGTTATTGCGATGCAGAAATTGCAGTGCATCATCGAATCCCTGCTGGCAGAACTTTGAGAGGAACTCGGCTCTCGGCGGGAACAGAATGCGTACGAAGCGGTTGACGTTCTGCCGCGATATCTCGATGCTTGTGTTGGCCCAGTTAAGGTGGAATAGCTGCGAGCTTTGGTCGCGTGGACAAATGTCACTCTCGCCGCAAAAAGGGCTGACAGTTATGGTGTTTTCGTCCAAGATTGGCAAGTTGTCCGAGAACGCACCGTCCATATACCGCACGCCCCGAAAACGCGGTGGCAAAATTCCAGAAAAGCCGGGAATGAAGCACGCACAAAGTAAAGCTTGCAACACCTCCTCACGGGACGCAAACTCCGAGATTATCACATTCTTGCCGTCGTAGACCCGTGTTAGAGAGATGTGCAGACGTCCGCTGACACGCTTATGTGCGTCATCGGGCAGATGTTTCTGGAGGCCCTCGAGCAGGCAGGTCTGTATATTAAACGACGGACTGAAAGGCCCAAGTGAGTGCCGGCGCGCCTCGTTCACCACGCGGAAGAAATCGGAAGTCATGCTACCTTTAATGGGACGGGACAAAAACATGCTATTCAATTAGTGTACATTTTAAATTAATCAAATCATATACAGTATATATGGTCCACGCACTTTAGCATCATTTCTGATGTCAACGATGTCAATTCAAGATTGCTGTTTACCTAGTTAGGCGATAGGAAATGACGTGTGCACCTCGTGCTGATTGGGTTGTATAAGTGTTAGTTTGGCCTCCATCGAGCATTTAACCGATAAGCCACTATAAAACACACTTCTCTCTCTATATATATATACATATATGTATATACGTAGGCAATGATTGTTTTGTTTTTGCACAACATGTTATAGTTTCTGCGTGTGCCAGCAGCTGTTTTTTTTCTTTCTGAAAACCCAGCTGATAAGAATCCCCTTTTGTTGTTTGTTTAAATATATATGCCTTTAATGTTCCGACCCTAATTTATAAAGGCAATCGCATTCCTTTCATTAATACAACGATAACACAAAAGATCTACAAATATTTATTTATTTTGCCATCTTAATTCAACCCTAAAACGAGCTCTCGCACAATAACCGAAAATATTAAAAACTCAAATTGGGATTACAAAAAAGCAAAAATATTTAAATATGGAAAATTTTTGGCAATTTGGCTATTTTATGACACTTTGATGGCAAAGCTTATCAGTGTAAGGGTATACGTTATTTCAAGGTTATTCTGCATGTTCTTTTACAATTTGATATATATTTTTGTCGCGAAAACAGTCTAGATATGAATCATTTTCCGTCTTCCGATCATGCGATCTATTGCGAGTTATTGATTAGATAAGTAAGGGGTGCATTAACCGAAATTTAAAAATAAATTGATCGCAAATGAACGTAAGACTGCTTGACTTAAACAGATTGTCGATTCGGCAGCTGATGTCAGATTCTGCCTGTAACAAATACGCATTGGATCTGTTAATGTCATGCTTCCTAGGATCGAATCTACCTCCTGCAACCTGTATATACTCATATATAATATTCACGAATTACCGCTAATACAGCGGGTAGGCTTCGAAAGCGGATAACTGTGAAATGCATATGACTCACGGTGGGGGTAGTTTCGACTTAATGAAGGGTATGTGGTGTTTTGTTTGGTATTCATACTGTACTTTGAAGCCATTTAATTGGTCGGTCAGACAGCTGGTTACGCCAGCGTTGCTACGAAAAAGTAGCTGAATACAATGTTGTTAACAGCTAAAAATAGCTAAATTCGGTTGCTAAGCACAAATTGGCAATAGAGGGTTGCCATTGCTTGTTCCTTGAGATGCCAAATAATAGCCGAATCAGTTTACAATTTCAACTGTTTTCGGCTGATAACCTCTAAGAATAGCCTATTTACGCTAGAAAACAGCTCAATTGGCAACAAATCAATTGCTGTGCAAATAAAACCTTAACTGTCATTTGTACATATAGATGATATTTTTCCAATTTAATTAGATTATATTTTTTTGAAGCGTACTTAAATGCATACGTAAATACACATGTAAATACATGCATGCAGATTTTTATTGAACCGAACTTAAGTACATACATACATACTATGTGTGTACATATACATACGCAAAAGTGTAAAAAGACCTCAAAAGTCACAATGAAAAACGGGCTGATAAGTCGCGTCACAGCGCAAAGCACAGCTGCTAATTTATTGTAAATAAAAACACTTGTTATGAATCTGTTTATATGTACTGTATTTATGTATGTTATATATATTCCATATTTGATTATTTCTAATCAAATAGGAAACTCATTCACTTTGTTTCGCTGAGTGGCTAAACTCAGGCCACACAGAATTGACGTCAATTGAAGGGGGGTCTATTCTAAGCACATACACACATACATACATACATGCCTATAGCAAACGGTAAAGACCTAATAACTTTTTGACTTACAAAATACATATTGTACACACACACATATACCCATGCATACACACACATACATGCATACACATACGCACATACATGCATATGTATGCCTGACATATCTGATGACTGATAGCAGTCAAGTAGAAGTTTCGTGTGCCCGTCATTAACTGGTTTCAAAGTTCGAGTGTCATTAATCTAGGGAAAACAAAGCAAATTAAACGCCTGCAATTGTCAATTATCTACACACACACATACAGACATAGTACATATGCACGAGCCGCATCTTTTCTAACTGGACTGCCGTTAAAAGCGAACTGCAGCAGTTAATCTGGAACAGGTGCGGCATGAATCATTCTACCTGACTGCCCACCGAACTTTCTACTACGGTATAGCAGAAAGCAGAAAGATGCCGCAGCAGCGGCAACAGGTAAATGTACCTATACACATGCATGCACACGTATACAGATATAATTGTATCTTTGCGCCAAAGAGCACGAAATTGGGAGAAAGGGTTTCAATTAATTCTATCCAGCTGTTACTGTTTACTGTACAACATATTTTGCAGTAGACAAACAAAAATCCCTTTTAGCTTTAAAGAAATTTGTGAATAATTAACAGATGCACGAATAACGATTATTTGTACGGTTTTACATGTGTGTGAGTGCATCCCTAAATAAACTACGAATCAAAACACGCCCTCACAGATAAGCAAGGTCGACCTTCAGAAAATTCAACAAATAAGTTTATACATATGTTTGTGTGTATGTGTGTGTGTGCGTGCGTGTATTTATATAAATGTAAACAACATTCTCGTTAGTTTATTTTTAGGGCCTGTCACACTTTACATATATTACACACAAATATACGTACGTACATACGTGTGAATTCAAGTTGCGGCGTATTTTAATGTTACGTTTCGACAGCGACGAGCCCCCAAAAATATGGGAGTGTACACCACAGCTGGCCACAGTTGGGCGTGTGTGTAAGTTGTAAATATTTATGTACACACATATGTGTAGCTTGGTATGTCGACTTGATTGTAGTCGAATGTATGGTATGATGGGAGTATGTATTATAAATTGATCAACATAAAATATCACATTTAATAAGGCAAACGATCATGGGTCGATGTACGCCCTAATCTAAACAGCCGAGCCATTCAATTTTGTGCTCAATTCGTCTAATAAATATTATATATAAGCAAGAATATACATATATATGCGCACATACATGAATATTTAAATGTATATGTGTGTGCATGTACATATATGTATAAGAGTTAGACATACCTAGTGGCAAATCGCATAGCAGGCAGCATGCTGCCAGGGACCCAGCGGAGGCACCTCCGATTTTTTCTAGAAGTAAATGCGGGGCATACTTCTTGAAGGAGACAGCAACGCCGACATGATATAACCCAAGAAATCCGCAGCCAGCAAAGGATAAATTCATTTTGTGTCTTTAGTGATCAGCACTTCAAATTTGTTTTGATAGGAATGTCTTAACTTTCGCGCTTTTGAACTTAACGTTTGCCTACGAAATATTTTCAAATACAGGTGTCCGATGTATATCTATTTCTTTTGTTGTATTTTATATAAATTATTTCGTTTAAGCTTTGAGCTTATTTATGTTTTGTTTTTCACTTCCGCTCACAATTAGATCGAACCGTTACGTACAGCTGCTTTAGCAACAATGAATAAATGAAATTGGTTACCGCTATCGAAGAATTTGTTTATATCGATATATACATAAATGTAGTCTCGCCGTTTTTTAGGATGTTATTGCTGCCAACCTATCGATAGCTTCTTTCTCTAGGCGCGTACTTGAAACGTAATGACCATATAGAACATATATAAAGAAATTGTAAAATAAATTGCAATCAAGATCAATGTGACGATAATGTTAAATTCGTAAATACAAAAAAAATTATATTAATATATTTAATGGTATGGTTGTATAGAAAAATATCGCTATTGGTATTTTTGAGCCCAATATATCGTGCCATGGGCAAGTACGCAGTGGCAAGCTAGATAATATTTTGAACTTAATTCGTTATGTTTTTCGATTTATTAACTTCAACAGAACAATATCAATAAATAAGGGTATGTTTGAAGTCTTTGTATCAGCCAAGACTAAAAGAATTAATTGCTTCATGGAAGCTACTCGATATTACTAGTAGCCGATACTACTAATACGATAGCTTCTCTAAGCATATCGATTATAACGGCGAAATTGGGGCGCGGCGAAGACAGGCTGCGGTGCGGCGAAGTTTGTTAGTTTTGTGCTGTGCTCGCTAATATATATGCATTTATGTATTGTATATTCACGAAAAAATGGAATTGTCAAATAAATTAAAGGCGAGTGGATGGTAAGTAACTCAACAAAGAGGGCAATTACACATGATATCAACAAAATTACCAGGCACTTTACCGAGGATGGATTAAAGACATTAACAAGCGCCGTCGGCGACAACCCCGACCCTTGCAAAATAATTGATGAAGCTTTAAACGTGAGTATCAGCTTTGCCAACTGTGACCGACCGGCTTACAGCTAAACAAAGAGGATTAATCACCGTTTTGGGCCAATTGCAGCGCGATCTGCGCGACATCGGAGGCGGCGCATTGCCAACTAAACGCGAGGAGGGCTCCGGGGAGCTCGCAGGTCGCATTGTGCTGCAGGTACAGAGAGTGCGAAACATTTCTGCCCCGAAGAGCAATGAGGAGTCGAAGGCTGCGCCGCGGCTCTTGCAGCTGGAGCTGAGCGATGGCCAGGCATCGCTACAGGCCCTGGAATTGGAGCCTGTGCCAGCGCTGAACCTGAACGTGGCGCCCGGCACAAAGATTTACTTTCACGCCGAGAAATTGCAGCTTATACAAGGCTATCTACTGCTGCGTCCCAACGATTTCAAGTTACTGGGCGGGCGAGTGGAGGCGCTTTACGAAAAGTGGGACTTCGCCCGCACAATGCTGAAATACGCACGCAGCGGACGGCCACTCACCGGATCGACTGCTCCGCCGCCGTGGGTCGCATTTGGCAAGAGCATCGATGCAAATGCGGATCGCAACTTTAAGAGTCTCGCACCGAATGCGGATAAGGACAAGCCCGCAAAGGAGAACGACGAGTTCAACAGCATGCGAAACGAAGCCATTGCCGTGGCCAGCAAGGCAGGTGTGAAGAAGGTTTTCGGCGGTGGAGGTCAGAATATTATCGACCATAATATTAAGAAGATTCTCGAAAAGGGCTACAGCAAGGAGGAAGCCAAGACTGCATTGCAAGCGACACGTAATAATTTGGAGCGCGCCCTCTTCAATCTGAAGAGGCGCAAGGATGCAGCTGAGGGATACAGCGAGCCCCCAATAAGGGCCGGCCGGGGGGAGAGGAACGGTAGGGAGGGAAAACGTGGCGCCAGCCTTAAAGAAGAAGCTGAAGCCGCAAAACCAGCAGCAAATGCCACACTTTTCGACTTTCTTACCACTAAACTACGCACGACGGACACGACACCGACTACCGAGGCAGCCGGTGAATCTACAAAACCAATTTCAAATGCCGAGAAGACGATTGTCAGGCAATATGAAAACGATTATAAAGCCTCAGCTGTAACATTAGCTGAGAACAAGACTCAAAGCTTGAGCGAACGCACGCGATTTGAGAACAATGTTTCAAGCAGTTTTGCTGCGAATCGTGGCGGTCATTCTGGCCGGCCTTCACGAGGCGGGGCACGTGGTCGGGTTGGTCGCGACGACCGTTCGTCACGTGGCGTGGGCAGCAGCTACAACGATCGGGGTGGAGCTGCGGGTGGCGGCAGCATGCGTAAGCATGAGACGAACTCGCGTCCATCGGAGTCGACACATGCCAAAAGCGCCAACCGTAATGGCCATGACCACAATGCAGCAACAAGCAAAGCTGGCTCCTCTGAGGGGAAGCAAGAGAGTTCTGCAAAGGATCAGGGCAACAACAGGCGTACGAACGAACGCCAGAATCATCGCATTGGAAATACTCGAGCCGAAAATGGGACTGCCAGCAATCACAACAATCGACGTCGTCAGCAAGGAATTGGCACAAGTGGCGCTGGCGCTGGCGCTGTTGCCCCCGCGGCCAAAAGCGCCAACTCTTATAACAACAACAATGATGAATTCAACAATCGTTTGAATAAAGTCGTCGCAGAGACCGCAAACTTGAAGCTCAGCTCCACCAAGCGTGAGCATAGACGCGGTGGAAGGCAAAGCGGCGGACAGTCCACTCGACAGCAATATGAAACGCAGGGGACTTTCAATCAGGCACCAAAATCGCTGGAGAAGAGTCTTCCAGCTCAGCGACAGCAGAAATCGCAGCAGGAAAATGCTCGACAGCCATTGAATGCCAGCAGCACTCAATTGCCGAACGGATATACTTATGATCCCAGCAAAATCATGGGATTCCAAACGAAGGAGACAAATGAGTTTGCCATGAGCTTGCTGAAGAGCCAGGGATTGACTCTTGCGCCCACCAACCACTCTCCGGCACAGACCCAACCAGCAAATAACTTGCCTCCTGCACAAGCGGGCCCCACTTCCTTTATGTCGTCTAACCCGCAGCCAGTTGCAATACCAGCGCCCCCAGCAAATTTAGGCCTGGCTCCGTGCGATGCTTGGATGTGGAAGAGCAATGATTTGTGTATGGCCAAGTACTGGGATGATGGACGGGTAAGTACACAGTGCACAATCGAATGCTCAACGACTTTTATTAATGATCGCCCCAATGCCCGTAGTACTATGAAGCTGAGATAACTGCAGTCGGGGAGAATACGTGCGTGGTGTACTTCCTCGGCTATGGAAACCATGAAGAAGTATTAAAATCCGATATTCTGCCGATCACGGACGCCCAAAACAGACCATTGACCAACATTTCCCAGCCACAGCCACCACAGACGCGTCATCGCGGCGATCGCCAGGCTCAGCAACAGCAGGTATATGTGCCACCACACAAGCGGGAAAATTGAGAAAATCGAACCTATTCAAAACTAAATTAAATGTGTCGAACAAACAATTATAAACATTTTTTACATTTACATTCATGTGAACAATGTACATAAACATGTACATATACGTACATCTTATCAAGGTTAAACAGTGTATGAAATTTAATGTTTAATAATATTCATTTGCATTATATTCAAGCTCATCAAAGTCATGGAATACGCAAGGCAAATTTTAAATTTGGTTACTCATTTCCAAAACAAAATGCACTTGCAATTTGCATTGTTTGAAAAGTACCCAGAGTGACTTTATTGGTTGAAGGAAAAAATCCCAAAAACGGGCAGTGTTGCAAAACATCAAAAATATAAAAGGAGGTCTGGGAGATCTAGCTCCGTAACTCAGTAACGATTTCTTAGAATATAAAGTGTTATATATGAATAATAATACGTTTTATCGCAATGCCCTCGGAAGTGATCTCAGCAGTTTAAATTAAAATAGATTTACGCTTAAAAGTCATGGGACGTTATTCAACACTGTGCTTACAAGTATGGTCTTCTTAAATCGATTGTATTTTAATTATTATCGAAAATAAAAAGTCGGTCACACTTGCTAGCACGTGTTTAGTAGCTAAAGGAACGGCTTGTTTTCGTGTTTTAAAATAAGTAAAATAAAATGGTTAAAGTGAAACTGGAGCACACGGATGCGGCGGATGTTTCAATTAAAGTCAGCGATAATGTCACCATTAAAGAAGAGGAGACCTATGATGACAAATTGTTGTTTATTAACGCCATAGCAAAACCAATGGCAGGCAAGAAACTAGCCAAAAAATGCTACAAATTGATCAAGAAGGCCATGAAACATAAAACCTATTTGCGAAATGGTCTGAAGGATGTGCAGACCCGTCTGCGCAAGGGCGAAACCGGGTAAAACTCACTATCCAAATGCATATTATTCCCAATATCTCCAATAATCTTTGGTGGCCCCATCACAGCATCTGCATCTTTGCCGGCGATGTGACACCTGTGGACATTATGTGCCACCTGCCCGCTGTTTGCGAGGAGAAGGGCATTCCCTACGCCTACACGCCCAGTCGCGCCGACCTGGGCGCCGCGATGGGCGTTAAGCGGGGCACCGTGGCTCTGCTGGTGCGACAAAACGATGACTACAAGGATCTGTACGACGAGGTGAAAGAAGAATTGGCCAACTTAAATGTTCCCATTTAAGCTTTTGATAATAATTTTAAGTCACAAAGTTTGACAATAGTATAAGCCTATCCATTTGCATTTGCACGTAAAGACGTATGAACACACGCAGCTATAAATACCATTAAAATATATTTTACATATATTGATCATATTTGTAAACTATATACACAAGGGTATTTTACACTGTGTTTTCTTTCCTCACTTTACTGCAATTTTAGAAATATAGAATAAAGTTCAAAGTCAAATAATTTGAATGAAGCGATGTTTAAATTTAATTTGAAAATTATTGTATATATGATGAAACCCGATTTTGTTACTTTAAAAACTGGCGTTGGCATTTGCTTTTGAGCTGGCCAGGAAACTAACTAAATCTAACAAAACCTTTTGTTCGAAAAAATGCAAATAAATAGTGTAATTCCTCATGAACCTTGAAGGAAAAAGCAAACAATATTACAAATCGTAAATCTCGAATTGATAAACTAATGAAAAAATTCATATCGATCGAATTTTGTTGTCTTGGTCTCATTTTTTATCATATGTTTTTGAAATTGAGAGATGCATGTAATATATATAAGTTGTTCATTATTATTTGTATACATTGGGTACATCAAATCAAATGGAAGAATTATTCTCCTCCATATAAAGTATATATCCGAGATAGGCTTTCTGGTGTCAGATTATTGTTTTTTATCATTGATTGGAGAGTCAAGCGTTGTATTGTATACAACACCTGGCTGCAAAGATCTCACTTCATAGGTGCTTCTTTCTGTTGCAGGCAGTACACATGGCGGGACCGGCCGAATCGCTCCAATATATCATATAGGAACGTTCGGTGGAAAAGAAGGTTCTTGTATGGAAAAGTATTGTGTTTATCCAGGTATGTTGACCAAATCTACCTTTTACTAGTTTAACTGAGTTTATATTGTCTTTGGCATAACTCTACTATTACTCAATAGGAAGAATCGGTCGAAAATAAGTTTTTGACCGGCGAAATATCTTTTCCAAGATATTTCTCTGAAACAGCATTTACGAGCTTCCCTATTCTCACATATCTGCAAAGCCGTAAGGCAAATGTCTACAAAGGTATTAAATATTTGGCGTGCTGAAGACACTCTCGATTTTCGCTTATGACAATTTAATTAGAATCAATATGTCTTTTAAAGAGCTCTTGGCTTCGCTAAAACATAATTATTATATCACATTAGCTTTCGACTTAGACAACCCATCCACTAAGGTCTGCTGCTTACCAAGTTGAAGAATCTGCTTCCACCCAAATATCGCAGTTCTTTCCTGTTCAAGATATAGTCTCAAGCACAGATTATTATGATATATATTATAATATATACATTAAAAATGTGCATAGTATTTCGGCAACAAAAAAAAGAGATGTTTTTGGTGTCCCTTAGGGATTTTTAAAAGTTTTTTTTTATCTGTATGTATTTTTATAAATTGTTTTACACAGTTCTTAAATTTGCGTAGTTTGGATGCGTTTCGTGTTTCAAATCAGTATTCAAAGTTATTTGTGCTTAATAAAATGTGTTTTTTAGACAAACTGACATACATAGAATTATAATTTGAATTTTTTTGTTACTGTTATTTAATATTAAATATATATATATATATATTTCCTAGTTTATTTATTTTTTTTTATTATATAAATGATTAGATTTTATATATAATTACATTCATGCGTCTTTGCATATGCATACAAGTCGCTGGCCAAATACATACATACTACCAAAAATCGAACCCGAGAAAGTTACTGAGAATTATATTTAAAATCAAACCACATGCTGAGGTTAATCTTGTCAAAGTAGTTGAGAATTCCAGAGGGGGGGGGGGGGGGGCAGAGTTATATATATACTTATCCAGTTTCTACGTCCAATAAGCATCAGATATGGCGCATCAAGTCAAGCAATATTTGCCTGGGCCGACAGAAAAAGTATTCATACATAGGTGAATGACATTTATGTATGCGTATGTACATAAATACATACAATAGGTGACCCATATAGCCAATATATATATATATATATATATATATATATTTAAAGTACAATTATGAAGCATTATATTTGTACGATATAAGTACGTAAATAAATTAAAGATTTGAATAAAGGTAATTAATAATGTATTTGAGTACATGATAAATTTTCAGTTTCTAATTTTTCGAATGGTCAACTGCTGTACAAAACTCAAGGTACAATAAATGTATGTATTTATAACTCAAGCGCACTAAGGCCAAACCGAACATTCTCGTAGCATATGATCTACGACTAATAGAATGATTATAAAATACAAACTTTCTTGAATTGCCTTAAGAACTAGCTAATTGTTTTCTTTTTTTTTTGTTTTTTTTTTGAATTTTTTTTTGTTTGTTTTTTTTTTATTTTATAAGATTTTTTTTTTTAGTTTCAAGGGCTGGGTGCTCAGAGCTACCCTGCTACATGCGAAATGACAGCGCCAGGGGCGTGCGTGGGGCGGAACGGCCTGCTGCGGCATTTGTAACTACTAAACATATGCATATAATATATAATAATTGTAATAATAATTAAATCTACATATTTAAATTAATTGCGATTAAAAAAGCAAACGGGAGAGCTAAAATTAACAAGCAATTCATTATCTGTTTTTGAGTTTTTCTAATTTTGCATTTTTTTTTGTTTTTTTGTTTTTTTTTTTCGTTTTCTGTTAAGACTCTAAAGTCATTATTTAAGACGTTGATGCCACGTGCAGCAGGCGGTGGCGTTTACCGGCGCATTCAACGACGCCAGGTGCTCACTGAAAGTAATTGTAAAAGCCTGAAGTTGCTTGCCCCAGTTCTCGTATGGCCGCAAAGGGATCCTTCTCCAGGTCATTGGGCGGCTGGGAGGATTTCGATGCATGCAAAGGCCGTGCTGAGTTCATTGCGGGCTGCTGCTGCTGATGTCCTGCGGCTGCCTGCGGTCCTTGGCTGAGCACAGCCGCATATGTTGTAGCTGAAGACTGCTGATGATTGGCGGTGTCGGCAGAGACCTGGGCAGTCTGCGGTGGCACGGCTGCAAACAAGTCTAAATCATGTCCGCTCTTAAGTGTGTTGTAGTTATTGTAGAGCAGGCCGTGTCCATGATCGGACTTGTTCGAGTGCTCGGCAACCACATTATTAGCTTGGAACAAGGCCTCAATAAGATTGGTGCCAGTGTCCAAGCCGGCAAAAAGCCCCGGCATATTGTTGTAGCTGTTGCCCCCATTGCCGGTCATTGGCTGGCGACGATAGAGCGGCACTGAGCTGCCACTATTGTGAGGGCCATAGAGCGGCACTGAGCTGCCACTATTGTGAAGGCCATTGCTGTTGTGACCAGCATTGTTGTGGCTATTGAAGTTGTTGTACGACTTGTCGTTAAGCATGGGGTTTCCGGCTAGCGAGATAGACATATCGTGTTAATATGGAAAGATATATTTGTTTATAAGCTTAACGAATGCAGGTCGAACTTACTATTGTTCATGAAGTTGGGAACGCCAGCGTTGTTGCCGCTTGTAGCCGGATGGACAGCTGTTCCCGGCACCGGTCCTGTCATGTGGTTAGGATACATATTTAGCGGCTGCAAAGGTCCAGGGTTGGGGCCATGTTTTGCCATGGCCAAAGGTGTTTGTTGTGGCTGCTGGCCCTGCATCATTGTAAAGAGACGACTCTGTTGTTGTTGCTGTTGTTGTTGCTGCTGCTGCTGCTGTTGTTGCTGCTGTTGCTGCTGTTGTTGCTGCTGCTGCTGTTGTTGTTGCTGCTGCTGCTGTTGTTGTTGTTGTTGTTGTTGTTGTTGCTGTTGTTGTTGCTGCTGCTGTTGTTGCTGGTGCTGCTGCTGATGTTGCTGTTGTAAATCACCGCCATTCATCATGCCATTGGACAGCGGCATACCGCCCGCGCCCACTGGCGCTGTTGCTACACCCACCATGCCGAGCACGTCACGTAAGATGGGCTGCGCAATGTCATTGGCCCCATTCATAATCGAATTGAACACAAGATCAATTTGCTGATTAAAGTTGTCTAGTGGCGGCGACGAATCCACCGACTGCTGGCTCTGCGTCTGCGCCTGTGTTGGGTACATTATCGGGTACTGTGGCCGCTGCGGCTGTGGCCCCATGACAGCATGTGGATTAGACAGCATCTGTGGTCCTTGCACTGCTGGTGGCTGTGGCTTGTGTCCCTGCGGATGGTGCTGCTGCTGGTGACCCTGCTGCTGCAATGTGGCCATCACCTGGCGGAGCATGTCGCCAAACTTGTTGGCTGCCTCTTGGCCCACAGACTCCAACAGCTTAATGTACCACTTATATTGCTCTTCCTTAGAGCTGAATGCCATTTCGTATATGCTCATATTGGGAGGCAGCAGCTCATGTGCAGACGGAAAGCGCAAGGCACTGGGCGACGGCTGCTTTCCGGCCGAATACATATAGGGGGCAGGAGGGGGCTGCTGAGGTGGACCCGCGGACTTCTCGTAGTTGCCGTAACCAGACCCAGCGCCATTGTGACGCAGATATGGTGGTGGCCCGTTCTCCATTGGGCTCATCGGGCCGTTGGGCACACTGCTGCCACGTTGAATGGGCATCGGTGGCTGGCCATATAAATGATGTTGTGGAGGCAGGGGCTGTTGAGGTGGTGGTGCCTGGCCGTGGTTGTAAAGCGTCTTCTTAGCTAGGTAACCCAGTTCGCTTGGATTGCGCAGCAATTGTGCCGCAGTCGTCGCGTTGCCTGCAGCTGGTGGCACGCTGCCTCCTCGAAGAGTCTGCTAATAAAAATAATTCGTATAATGCTTAAAGATTTAAGACTAGATGCTGTCGTTTGCATATACAAATATGACTACACCTCAATTGATCTTGCAAATCATCCAACATAAGCTAAAGGCCATTCTATTTATATTTCTTAATTAAAACATTTACTTACTGGTGGGGGCAATGGTCCTGGACCGCGGCCGGGCGCATTTGACTGCTGAGGTGGCGGTTGCTTGTTCGGCGGTAAGACGCTCCAGGGATTTGTTTGCGGCGGCGGACCCCAGAGACTGGCATTGGGATTCTGCTGTTGCTGTTGCGGCTGTTGTGGGGCAACGGGTGGTCGCCAGTGCTGCATAGCTGCATATTGGCCATAAGGTGGCGGCGGAGGTCCTCCACCGCCTGGCTGGGACTGTCGCAGATGTGGCGGTCCAGGCGGCGGCCCGTTAGGTGGCGGTCCGCGCATTCCCATATGGCCACGTATATGAGCAGCAGGTCCCGGACCTGGTCCTGGCGACGGTCCGTTGGAAGACTTGCCGCCAGCGGCCACAGCAGCTGCCATCATTGCCGCCATATGAGTTGAATACATATGAGAGAGCTGCTGATTGGCCATTGCTGCAGCCATCTGATTCATCTGATGCGCTGCAGACGGTCCGGGACCCATGCCTGCGGAGGCAGCATAGTGAGGTGGCTGACTGCCGGGTGGCGCATGCGCTGGAGCATT